TTGTGATCAAAGGTCTAGTCATCTTAGACCACTCTGAAGAATGAAATATCTTTAGCTAGTCTGGGAAAGGAATTGCTGGACAAAGGATTTGGACTTAGTTAAGGATGATGAAGATATATATTATGAGTTTACCAGTGAGTCTAAGAAGTCACTGACTTCAGAAATATCTGTTTAACCCATCTACAGCCTCCATTTTGAAGTATGAACATATCATAAGGTTTGTATGCAGAGGAAGTTGGTCATGGCCACAAGCTGCTCTTAAAAATGTAGACTGTAAGCTACCTTCTTGAACCAGAAAGTGTAGAAATAATATACCACGTAAAAGCATTTGAGATTATGAAATGAAAATAAAGAAAAACAAGAGCAAGTCAAAGCATTCACCTACTATAAACCAAGACAGACTATGTGTCAACTTGCTGAAGCTTCTTATATATCATATGAAACAAACAAATCTCTAGCTTATACACTAACCACTAGAATCAGAATACTGAAATGCAATAACTTGACATGAAGGATAACTAATTATTCATCACATTAGTAGCATGAAACCAGAGATTGAGTTTAATATCGACTTCTAAAAGTCTCATCATCTGAAAATTCTGGGGGTTACATTTTGGCTGATATCTGATCACTCTGAATTAGAGAAGTTTAAGTGAAACATCCTTTTCCTTATCACCCCTGGAATGGTTCAATTCAATATATCGCATTTGACAAGCTGCCAGCACCAGATCTAGAAAGAATTATTTTTGAGAAGTCATTTTAACTAATCCCCTAAAGTTCATGGCAGAATGATTGATATCTTATTCTCCCTAATACTTTGAGCTGGCACTTTTATCTTCTCTCAGCTGATTGATTTGATTTTAGGGTGAATTTGGGGGATGAAATTCCCCCACATGGTCAGATTATCCTATGATGGTTAAATCTGTACATCAAGACTTAATACAACAGTAGTTTACATCGTTACTATCATTGCAGTGAAGTTTAGTAGTTTCTTGAAGTTTACTAAGGTAAGCCTTAAATAGAAATCTAGGAGTACTCATAAAAGTTTACAAACAAATCCTGTATGCTTTGAATAAATGTGATATCAAACTACTCATATTTCTTTTATAATACTCATTTAAATCTGGCAATAAGTTTTAAAATATCAATTAACCAAAAAGTAATTTAATTGTGGCATATTTTCTTCCAGTTGAGTCATAACCTCATTATAAAATTCTAGAACATATTAATGCTAAAGAAAAGATGCTTTATATTGTTCTGAATAAAGAGATGATAATTCTTAGTCATCAGGAATTGATAAATCATTCAAAAAGGACATAAATCATGTCCTGAGTTCTACAGAATGACTCTCGATCACACTGTCCCAGAAAAAGTGAACCTTATCTGTCGAGGTGGAAAAACCAGTCACAACAGTCGTGTCCCATTTCTAATCCCAAAGTGGTAATGTTCATCAGAAAGGCACACAATATGAAAGCCCTGGTGAAAACAGCATGACTGTCACCATCTCACCTCCGGAGACTGTTCAGTTTGACCAGCCTGTCATCCGAAACGCCACCATCTTAATTTATTAGGTATTATTTCATCTCCTAAACAAAATTGCACAAGAGGGGGATCACATGACTCCCGTGTTAGGTGTGAGAAAAGACTCACTGTTTGAAAGATGATTTGTGTTCTAGTAAACCGAGATGGCTCTATTCACTTCTGGCCGCTTCTCGGCTGTTCGGCCAATGCTGACATTCCATTGAATAATGAATGTTGAACCTTACAGTCTGTATAGCACTGGGATGACTCTCAAGGTAGAAAGGTCCGGTTAGGTTTCAAATTAAATGGGCTATGTTCTTGGTGTTATTCATGGGGACGAGGCAGTCACATTCATCATATTCAAGAAGAGATATGACTGGCTGATGATGAAGGTGGGAAGCAGGGCAGAGAGGTAAGCAAACATGGAGATACTAAAAATGACAAGGAGAAACTTCACCTTTATGTTCATTAAATGAAATATACAAAAAATACATTGGTAGAATGTTAAGTCCCTAAAAGAGTTTGCTTTATAATAATGATAGATGTATGTATGTACAATATACTCAAACTTTTGTGATTTAACAATGGATATTCTGGAGTGCTTAAGGGTAGGAGAGGGTGATGTGTGGCAAGGTCAAGTCTGTGTGATATAGAATAAAGACAAGATACTAAGGCAAATGATACAACAGACAATTTTTATTCCATTTTCTATTCCTGCATATGATTACTAATGCAGATCTTGCTAACAAGACCACCCTGTCACTCTGCGGATTCATCCAGCTTTCAAAATATATTTATGATTCACTGACCTGAAATATCTTAAAGGCTAGTAATGCACTCATTGTTAATCCAGAGTCTTTTAACAGATATATTCTATCCAATATTCCAGATAGGGCAGGGATGGGAAACTCTTTTAGTTTAGGAGACAGTTGGATGCATTGGTCAGAGGATTATGACCAATCCAGATGACCGTAGGATGCACCATGGTTACTAATGATGATCGCCATGGCATCCATAGGAGCTTGTGAGACCAAGATGGATTGAGCGACGAATTTTGGAAGATTGGAGAGACAAGATGGAAGTGAATGAGGAGATGAATTGAATTAGTGAGAGACGGGATGATTGAAAGCCAGGCAGAGTCGTGATGAAAGATGGACAGAAAAAAGGGGCATGTGGAGAAAATACTGTAGAGGAATTATACCATAAATAGAGAACTATGGAGATGTAAATGGACATAACTGGATTGAACTAATTCTGTGTACGAACAAAACGAAAAGAGACGGACAGAGAGAGAGAGAGAGACATAGAGAGAAAGAGAGAGAGAAAGAGAGAGAGAGAGAGAGAGAGAAAGAGTGATTCACAGAGTGAAATGAAGAGAAAGTCTCTCATGTCAAGACCAAAGTTGATAATTTTAATCAATACTGCCATTTGTACTGGTGCAAGGCTGTCTAGTCCAAATAATGATTGGTTTCCGAAGAAAATAAAAAATACAAGGATTAAAAAACATGACCTTGGATGACTTATACCTACCTCCACCCTATCCCCTCCATCCGCCCCATTTCCTTTTCCCTCTTTCTCTAACTCCTCCATTCTACTTCTCTCTATCAGTGGAGAAAACTGTATACCATTTAATATGAAAACACAACTCCATTATTGTGCCCCCTCCCCCTTTGAGACACCCCAAAATTTGATGACCTTATTAATTGTGTATATATTTATCATTCATTCACCCCTTTTAGTTTTAAGACACCCCAAAATTTGATGACCTTCTTAATTGTGTATATATTTATCATTCATTCATTTATTAAATTATTTATTTATTTATTTAGTTATTATTTAATTGATTTATTGATTTATCTATCTATTCATTTGTTTATTCATCCATTTAATTACTTTTGCTTGTCATAATGTTTTCTATTACTATTGTACCTCATTTTTTTCAAACCCTGGATGTTTAAAAGAAAGTCAGAAGTTTCCACACAAAAAAATTCTCTTCTCCAATGCTAGCGAAAAAGCACTCCTTCATTCAGGGCCAGCGTTATCATAGTCTGTCATCTTTCCTTTGACATCACTACTCCCGCACCTCTCCTAGCAGATACCAGTGATTAATCTGGACGGTGAGCTTGGAGGAAAGGATGCTACCGATCGACATCGTCCATCCATGATTACTTCATGAGCTCTGTGACCGACCATCCCTGGTACAGGATGCCACTATTGATTTTGATGGTACGACAAGACACCCGGCTGGCTTGGATTGCTCCGGTAGGTACGAGAAGGGATCATGACATCACAGACCATACTAAATCAACCAGCTTTACATCACATGGGTATAGAGAGACACAAGAGGGCTGATTGGAGAAAGGGGTAATGTAGGGGTGTATCATGGAAACAAATATTAAATAATTTTGTGGGCTACTTTTCAAGCTTGTTTGCATGAAAATAAGACTCTTTAATTTGTTTTGCATTGAACTCTATGCAAATTTTTGGGGCTCTTTCATGACTATAGGGGGCTCTTTTTTGGCATTTCGGGGGCTCCTTCGCCCCAAGCCCTCATGTATTTTTCCCCTGGGGTGCATGGATTGGTGATCATAAATAAGAAGAGGCATTGACCCTCCATTGCAACAACAAAATGTGTATTGTGTTTAGGGTGACTAAATCTGTGTTAGGAAATTGAATTACAAACTACACGCATGTTTGAATGTAGTAACTACCCGAAACCACAAGTAGCAATCTTGTGAGATGGGAAACAAACAACACCATGACGGGTAAGATGGGTATAATAAGATGATCAATGTTGTTAGGGGGAATTCAGAGGATGGAGTCAGTCAAGGAGGAAACCTGAGAGATTGAAATTGTGATAGTAAATATAATCTCAATCTACAATCATTGATAGCAGACATCATGGTGACATAAAATGATGATGAATCCAGCCAGAGATAGGAAAAATGTCAGCTAAAGACATTCTTATGGTACATTTATTGTAATATTCCAAAGTGTAAAGCCATCTTTGATTATAAGGATATTATTTTAACAAATGAAGGGACTTTCAAAAATGGAAAAACTTGTACTCGAGTGAAGACTAAAGAAAGTTTGCTACACATTTAGTGTATTTCTTTGCCTGAAAATTGAGCCATCTCTCTTTGCCTGAACATTGAGCCATCTCTCTACCCACATCACCTTGCTTAGTAGAAGGTTACCTAAACCTCACAGAGGTGTAGTTATTAAGAAACCAATGTCAATGCCCGCTATGTGACATGAAAACCCTTAGTGAACTTCACCCATCCCTTGGACGAGCAACAAACATGCCTTCAATCACAGACTCTAGCCATAAGACAATCCCCTAACATTGATTTTTGCCTGCAATCGGAGCAAGTTGGAGCTGTAATTGTAGCCCCTCAAAGGATAGAAACTTTCCACTGCAATTTTCATTAAGAGGAAGAGAGGACGGAAGACATGAGATGGAGAGAGAGAGAGAGAGAGAGATGAGGAGAGATGAGGAGAGAAGATGGAGTATAGGTAGAAAGGATGTGCTGGGAAAGGTATGTCATCTCGTATAGCAAACTTGACACCGTTAGAAGAACAACATGGTCCTTACTGGATGTCCGGGTTTGACTTTGACATTGACTTTGTAACCCATTAGAAGAAGAGATTCATTCGTAAGTTCAGACCATGACCGTTAGAACATTGCTGTCCTCATGGTAGAAAGGATGAGAGGGTGATACCCATTAAGGTTTCTATACAGACACTCTGATTAATGACAAGTGTAAAGTACATACATGAAGTATGACATGATCTGCATTTGAGCCCTTTAAACGATAATAAGAAATAACAAAGATGTTAGATTAAAGGTGCATATCAAAAATATTTCATTTCAACTAAAAAGACCAGAAGAAAATCTTTCTAAAGAGAAAAGGTGCATGAAGAATCTCAGTAGAAATAAATAAACATGAAACGAAGGGCATCTATAGCTCCTGGCTTGACAATGAAGTATAAAGCTAAAGTACCTGCATGAAAACCAATTTGGGTTAAACATCACTTTGTGGTAATCTGATATGGTTGTTCTCTAATGATGATCACCATTAATCAAGAATATGACATCTCATTTTACCCATTTAGATTTGTTCCCATTCATTCACCACAATACTACCCAATCTACCATCTCATACAGGTGGGTTGGTTCAAATCATTCTACTCAACCTCATCCTCTTGTTGAGATAAATCATATTCATAAATCCCGTAACAGCCTAAGGCAACAAGCAATTAGCTGGCAAATACTGACTACACCAATTGCGAAGTTTTGATCAAGCAATAACTGTCTGTTGTCATGATCAAACTTCTCCTTTTCACTCACAAATTGCTGCCAATTTTCGTTGGGCAGAAAAGAAAGGTAAGTGAGTAATTTTGCAAGTATTTTCAACAGTACAAAAGGATAAAAATTTCCCTCTAATCCTTGCCATCAACTTTAGGAGTTTCCAAACGATCTTTGACATTGATGAGTCGCGAACAGTGGAAGGTGCGACCTCCGTCTGACCCATTTCTTTGTACCCGCCTCATCTCCCATCTATGGTTGCCTTAATGCATTTTTGTACAGCTCATTAATTCGCGTGTGATTGCGCTCTTCAAACGCAATGTTCAAGAAGAGGAGACAGAAAAACCTTTATAGAAAATGGATCATTTACATCTATCCAGCAACATAAAAACTATTCTCAACAATAAGAAGACAACCACATCACCTTAGTCTCCAAAGCAAAAAATAAATAAACGCTTAGTTTGGGTTTGAGTTTCTGGTACCTTTTTCTCTAGTCAGTGTTCCATTGGGATGGGTTTGATTGTTGCGATCACACCCCTGTGAAATTGGATAAAGCTATCCTGGCTCCTTGAACTAATTAGGAGGAGTCGTATGGTATGGAATAGAACTTAACAACAGAAAGGATTTCTGAAATACAACAGTTTCATGACAATCTCTGATCATGTCTGGCTTGTGGCTTTCGTATCTATTTTTGAGAACTAACTAAAGCCTTCAGGTCTGTTTGTTAAATGTCTACAAGCTACAACATTATGAAACACATAATGACTCAACAAAAACAGACAAATGATTGTTTGTGGACTTGTATCTCATTCTCTCTCTCTCTCTCTCCCTTTTCCTCCCTTATTCCCCCTTTTGTTATCCTTCTCTCACTCTCTGTCAAAAATCAAAACTGACAGAAATGTAGTGACATTCAATCAAGCTTGAACATGATTGAATCATAATCATTCCATTAAACCAACATCACCAAGTATTGAAGATGGGCTACACATGTAGACCATCCTCATCACCACCACCTTGACAGCCATTAGTAGACTCCTCCTGGATGCACCGCATCGTCATACCAGTTCTACAACTAGGATGTGTTACTATGTCATCACCAACTTGACACTCATTCACCCCATCGAATCATCTACATCCTTTAGAGAATATAAATAATCATTGTTATTCATGAAATAAAGTGATGACATAAGTCTTCAAGCCCATACCTTGCAAAGAAAGATGCTGCCGCTGAAGAACCCGTCACTGGTGCTGTGATAGTATTGGTAGGAGCAGTAGACTGACGCATTGCCATGGCTGCTGCTGTGCTAGTACCTGTCACTGGGCCTATTCCAGAGGATGTTGTTGCTATGGCAGCAGGTACCTGATGTCTATCTTGAGGTGGTATATAGGTGAGACTCTGTGGGACGGTTGTCCTCCCCATGGGACCTGCATTATTGCCGACAACACCTCCTCCAAAGTTACCCTGATAATGAACAGGAAAAAACAAGATTTTATTAAACTTTCAAAAATATAAATGCAACAATTTTCTTTTAATTATCAATTCATTAAAATGTACAAACATTCATACAAATTTGAATACAGAAATATAAACCAAATGGTGATTTCAGAACATGGCAAAAATAATCATTTTGTGTTGTTTTTTTTATCAAGAAAAATGGGTTAACTTTCATCCGATGGTCATCTTGAATTGTAATCCTCTTACTCCTCCCTCAAAATCTTCAATCAAATTTTCTCTTAAATTGCTGTACCAGATACACCAGTATAATGGGCGTATACATGTATATGATTTGTCTTCTGTTTGTTTGAAGCTCAGGCAAACAAGTGTAAATGCATTGTGACAGTTGGGCCTCGGCAAAACAGAAACAAATTCACTCCATGGCGGCGGCTTCTCTTAGAGAGAGATAGAGGAGGGCGGGTTACTTTGTCTGATGGAGCGAACCGGTCATGATTGACGACCTACTAGCTCAAAACATCAAAGTTGCGACTTAATTTCTTCCCCTTTTCTTTTTCTTTCTTTCATTGCATTGTTCAGGTGACCTTTGACCTTGTGTGAACTGGGCTAATCAAGAGGAATATTGTTAAATTAGCCTGGATAGTGTGGGAACATTCAGCCCATCATACACCCTCCTTTCATTTGTTGAATCCCTGGGATTATAGGACCTTAAATTTATCGTCTGTCAAAGTGCCAAAAATAAAGTTATATATTGGTGGTGCAACTGAATTTACACTTAAATGAAAAACTCTTGAATTCATATAGCAATCTTTGTTTTACTGAGGCCTCTTCTATGTTACATATTATGAAAGAAAGGGGTGTAGGCCTACACCCTTGGCAAATATGAGAGGGCTTCAAACATGAAAGAAAACCATCAGCTGGTAAGACTGAGTAGATATTCTGTGCAAAATAAAGCATTATGATCTGAACTAGTGTTGTGCAGGTCTCTAATGTATGGCTTTAATATCTCTGTCTCTATTTTGGTGAACTTTGTATGGCATGGTGTTACTTCAGAAAGTAGACTACTGTCAAAGTAGTTCAAAACATGACACAAAATTTAGAAACCTAAACACAGAGAAGATACATGTATCAATAAAAGCCAGTGAACTCCACAGATACTCTATTCAAATTCGGTCAAGGCCCAACTCCTTTTCAATCCAAAACAATAATTACAAACAAATATCAAACACAAGCGATAAAGATGAAAACTGTTTTGGGCCCCCAGGCGGTATCTCTGTACTGTACGCACCTTTCATCTTTGCTTTCAAATCTCGTGAATTTTACGCCATTGTGCATTTGGGAGACTCCAAACAAGAACTGAAATTGAAACAAATTTCTGTTGAATGGGCATGCACTATCAGCTCAATGATTTCATGCCATTTGACAAACAAGTACACAGTAGCACAATCAGGCTACAGATATTTAGACATCACTGATGACATCTAGACGAAGGCATTATATTTCATGAAGTCAAAACTTTATCAGTTTCAATATGGATCAATATTCCACAGCAGTATGCATAGATCATTAATATTGAGCCTAAATTACCAACAAAGATTTGGTAGAAGAGCAATTATTAATGTATAATAATAGTGGATCACTTTCTGAAAGGTCATAATATGGGGAATCTTGTTTGGGGCATCTTGTTTAAAGTCTGATCCTTTGACATTTGTCCATAATGATTAATGCATTTCTCACACTATAACACTTCACTATAACACGTACCGTTGTAGCACAGGAAAGAAACATACTGATGTGAGTACACCAAATTATTTCTGATGGACAGGTTCTGTTTTCAGAAAATCTGATAATACAAAAGAATCAGTTTGTATCTTTTAAAAGAGGATTATCCTCTATCCTCATAACCTAGCAACAGATAACAACTAACTCTCAGCTAACCTAGCAACGTCTTGTCTGTAGAACGAGAAGTCACAGGTGTCAGGGTAGGAACTAATTGAAGCTTGTCTAATTCATCAGCCTCGTCACATCTCTATCTAATTAATATGACACCTCTTACTATCTTTTACATCAAGCTTGATGGTCAATATTTATTGGCAAAGGATGGATGAATAAATTATCACACAAAAGCTAGCCAAGCTTGTGTCTCCTTCATGTTTCACCAAACATGATCTTTGATCATAACAAAGAATCAAAACATGTTTTGTCTAACATTCATTCATTCATGATCAATCATACCATGTCTTTTGTTATTCCTCATCATTTCAGAGTTATATGATATGACTTTATTATCTCAAGTCAGCAAAACAGTTCCCTACATCATTGTCTACATGATCTCTTTTAATGTCATGAAGACTTAAAAACAAAAACAAACCTAGAGAGAGAGAGAGAGAGAGAGATAGAGAGAGAGAGAGAGAGAGAGAGAGTACCATTTTTCTGTTGTGATACACTCAGAATTACTAGTACAAAATATTGGAAATGGTTTAGTTACCGGTATTCTAAATTCTGTTATGACATACACAGGTTCAGAGACAATAGATAATACAGATTACAGACGGACACATGAACAGAGTGTGAGATCCAAGAAGTACACTGTACTCTTCGTGCAGGGCTAGAAGTCTGCACAAAGCTAGAACTAATTCTCCTGGGTCCCAACTAACCAGGCAACAAGAACGCGCTACTTTCTTTAATCTTGGCTTCACAATTCTCACTTCCTTGAGACAATCAGCAATGGGATCTTGACGATGATGAATTGCCTACCCTCCAAAGGTAATGAACTTTGGAGCAAAAACTCTTTTTTCCTCTCTAAACTATGACCCCGTTTCTCCCGGCCTGAGAAGTGCAGCACATGTGATGAAAATGAAATTGAAATTACTCACTAAAATGTGTTTGCTCCATTCTCCCATACCCTCTGGATTGCCAAGCAACGTACAGAAATGGGACATCCAAGCCAAATTTCAGTCCCTAATACTGGAAGAACTCTACTCCTTTGTTTTCTTTTCGGGAATGATGGATAACAGATCAAACAGAGAGTGCAGTCATAAATAGCAAACGCGCGATGTAAGCGTATTTGGTTTTAATGGAAGGGGACGCATGGGAAATGGGTACTCGTCTAGGTGCCGTATAGATCAGAATGGAAGAATTCACCAGTCATATTAGAAGAAAAAAGTGAGAATGGGGCCGACAAACTAATATTTGATAACTGATTAAAGAGTCAAAATAGGCTGGGCATGTGGCGTGTGTCTATCAATGATGTCTTCTAGATCGGTAAACCTTTGAATGTCATTTCATTGTCCCTCACCTACATTCCTAGTTATTTCTTTTCTCTCTGACAAATTCAAATATTGACCATGGACTAAATACCAAGAATGAGACAAATGCCTGTAACATAAAATGATTAATACAGGAAAAATAGTAAAATATATAATAAGAACACAAAGCGTGACTCAAAATTGAATTTTTGAAAGCGTGACAGACATGCCCTCGCTATCAGCTACCAAGATACCAGTCGACCTGGTGGAACCCATCCTTGAGATGCTATAGGCTGTTGGCAAAGTGCACACACGTGTCGTCTTGAAATCGTAAACTGCTTACCTTAGGTCACCCAAGAATCATGAAATTTCTACTTGCAAAAACAACAAAGAAGAGGTCTAACTTGCCCCTGGTCAAGTTTACTCCGTATAGTCCCAGGTCATCAGCAAGGTTGCTTCTGAAGACCCTCTAGCTATTGATAGTTTGACCCCCCTCATCGACTTGAGGATCTGCCAATCAAGTGACACACGTTTCCACCATGATTGATTTCCATCAAATCTAAGTTGGTTTCAAATTATTCTGGAAACTCAGTACCTCATTCAAAACTTCCTCGATATTCTTTTAAAAAATTGGTTTGATGATGATTTTCATCCAAAAGCAGTTCGGTTTTTGCACAAGGCACATTGTTTCTCAAGGCTTATGTCAAATGCATCATAATTATGGTATGTATGCAGGAGAGGGTTTCATGATCTTGCCTGTATTCTTGTGAAGTTAAACAAGGGGCAGTAACTAGTGACCATATGTCTTGAATTCATTTGCATATATCTGAAGTCCAAACAGAACCACCTTGGAATTGATTCTGAAGCTAGGCAGGATGAAATTGTTGATGGCAAGCTTGGCTTGGTATGATCTCATCCTCCTACCAATTCATTAATTCCCCCTCCCTGCCCGGCGCTACCTTCTGCTTAGATGCACTCATTAGCATCACCATCATCGCTGGACAAACGTGTCCACTACCGCAAGTACTTCCTGCAATATGCCACTAAGATTCTCCACTACGCCCCCTCCTCTTAAAACATGCCAAATGGCTTGTTCTTCCCATACCCAAACCACAAAAAAATCTTGTTTCTAGATAATTGCAGAGGAGGCGGGTTATTGAACTTGAAATAATGTGCAGAAGGTAAAGAGAATCCCCATCAAACTGTCGTTTAGGATCATTCTGCCCTTTCTATAATTTGACCCCACATTTGAGAGCTCAGTGCAATCTCTGTATCATCACATATACCCACTCTGACCAAATACCATAAAATTCTACAATGAAAACCAGAGTGGTCAAGAGAAAACTGACCGCACAAAAATGAGTCACAAATCGAAAGAAAGATAAAAAAAGGACAGATTTTTAAAATCTTCTCTGATGTATTTTATCTCCCTGTTATTTCTAAAAAATGCAAAGCTGGCCTGACAGAAACATGTACTTTTAGTCAACCATAAAGAACTGGTATCGCAAATTTCTGTGATTTGAATATCACAGAACAACTCATCCTGAGTTGTATAGAATTCAGAAGGCACTGACGGTTTAGGTTTTAAAAAGAAAACATTTCAGTTGATGCTAAGAGCCTCAAATTAGCTGACTAAATCAAGAATTAATATGCAAAATCTTTTAGGATAGTTAACCTGAAAGTAATAATATGAATAACAAATCCAATCTCAATAAGCAAGAGGAAGAAAAAAATGTCTGAAAACTCATAAGAATGATGTTT